AATCATGATTCTCTTCGGGGGCAGGTACCCACTCTCTCCCAGCCAGCTGAGGCTCCAGACATCAGTGAGCAGTATCTTTAGATGCAAAGGCCCCACTCTGGCTTGGAGCAGAAATGAGCCATCTCCCTCCTTATCTCAGCAATCCCACAGAATCCCACAGGCAGGCTTTATCTTCCTCTGAGCCAGGGACCCAAACAGGACTTATGAATGGATTTGAGTGTTCTGTAGATCCTCTGACATTAGATATTAGACCTGTGTACAGATATGTATTTTTCTGGGACGAGGATCCATTACTTCCACCAAATTCTCAAGGAGTTATTCATCACCACCCCTGTCCCAAATTAAGAACTACTTCTCTAAATTACCCTTTGCAAATCACATACCTCCCTCATATTCCTTCTCCAGGCAGAACACTAAGCAGGTCTGTGACTAGACATAAACTTAAATGGGACATTTGGGAAAGCCTTTATAAGATACATGGCCTTAATCAGATAGCAGAATACTCACACTAAAGAGAACACTATAAGAAGCCATACTTACAGTGACCTACTACTTATTAAACGCCTTCTGTGTGTCAGGTACTAACCCAGTTGCCTCACATATGTGAGCTCTAATCTTCACAACAACTCATATATGCATCCATTCTTCCATGTTTTTTACACACCAGGCAAGATACTACAGGATGCAGATGCAATGGATGATAAAGCAAAGACAGGGTACCCCCCCCTCACAGAGCTTACATTTACATGAGAGAAAAAGATATTATCAAAGGTCACCCAAGAAAATGTACAATTACAACTGTACTAAATATTGCAAAGAAAAACTACACAGTGCTATGAGGGCCCAATGCAAGTATGACAACCCTTTTTACAGAGGTCAGGGAGGCTTCTCTGAGGAATCATGATTAAGTTTAAATCCAAAGAAAGAATAAATACTTCACTGGGCAAAAGGGAGAGATGGAGGTGGAGTGGAAGAGGCAGAAGAGACGAGAGAAAAGGGCTTTCCAGGCAAAAGGCGCGTGTAAAAGCCCTGTGGCAGGAGAGCACCCAGCAGCACCTTTGAGGTGTGGTGAGGTGCAAAAGCAAGAGGGAATGTGGACTGACTTGGGGCTGGAACTGCACAGGGGCCAGGCCACGGAAAGTCCGTGTGCCATAATAAGGAATTTGGATATTATTCTTAGAGTTCAGGGAAGAAGACATTGCTAGTTTCATTTGGAGAGTGACAGGATCAGATTTGCTTTTCAAAGAATTGTTTTTGGATAATGGGGACAGATTAAAGGGAGGTCAGAGTAGACACAAAGAGATGATTAAGAAGATATTGCAGTAAAGCAAGTGAAAGATCACAGCAGCTTAGCCTGGGATGGTGAGCAGAAGAAATCCAGAGGCGGCGGACTAAGAGAAGTTCAGGACAGGAAATCCATAGGACATGGGGATGGTAAAGGACAGAGTGGTCTGGCAGGCTGCCCAGATCTCTGGCTCTCATAGCTAGATGGAAGGTGGTATCACCGCAAGACACTGATGCCCAGAAGAGGATCAGATCTGAAATGAAGATTATGAGTTCAGCTTGAAGATACTGAATTTGAGGGGGTGGAGGAACCAGGCAACTGGATAACATGGTCTGGGGTCCAGAGGGAGGTTCATAATGGAGGAAGTGGTCACAGGCATCAGGGACACAGTGAGATCCTCCAGAAAAGAAATCAGACTGAAAGGAGAAAAGCTTGGAATGATGCCGACATTTCTCCACCTTACATGTGCAGACGCCCAGGCTCACAGAGAAACAGTGACTTGCCCAGGCATTTCAAAGTGCTGGTGAGAGGAGGAGGCGGAGAAAAAAGTAAAGCACCAAGTCAGAGCTCCACTGCAGGAGTTCACACTGAAAAGAATGCCTATTTTTTGAAGAATAAGGCAAAAGCCTTCAAGGACACTTCATGAATCAAGAACACTAAAAAGAAACTGGACTTATGTGAAAGAGTGAACTAGATTAATAAAAATAAAAGCAGAAACAACTTCAAGTGAAGTGATGTTTAGATTGCACAGAAATCTACTTTCCCTGAACCCCATTGTGACTAGACCAGTCCAAAACGGTCTCTCCCTCCTCTCAACACTCCCACATCAGGTGCTCATTAAGTGTCCAACATTGCACTAAATGTTGAAGACACAGTGTGGGGTCAAACATAATTTTTGTGCTAAAGTTGCTCACAGGCTGGTTAGGGAGAAGAGGCAGGCAGATAAACAAACCAACAATGACGGTAGAGCTCAGTCAGTGCTAGGAGAGAGGCTGCTACCCAAACACAGAAAAGGGCTATCAAACAGTGATGAACCAGCCCAGCCAGCGTGGCTCAGTGGTTGAGCGTAAACCAATGAACCAGGAGGTCACGGTTCTATTTCCAGTTGGGGCACATGCCCTGGTTGCAGGCAGGAGGCAGCTGATCAATGATTCTCTCTTATGATTAATGTTTCTCCCTTCCTCTCTGAAATCAATAAAAATGTATTGAAAAAAAAATAGTAATGAACCTAAAAAGGGGTGAGATCCTAGCCAGGTGAAGGAAACAGAAATAAATGCATTTCTTTTTTTTTTCTTTTTTTAAAAATATATTTTATTGATTTTTTACAGAGAGGAAGGGAGAGAGACAGAGAGTTAGAAACATTGATGAGAGAGAAACATCGATCAGCTGCCTCCTGCACATCTCCTACTGGGGATATGCCCACAACCCAGGTACATGCCCTTGACCGGAATTGAACCTGGGACCTCTCAGTCCGCAGGCTGACGCTCTATCCACTGAGCCAAATCGGTTTTGGCGATAAATGCATTTCTGAAGGCACGGGAAGGGTGAAGGGAGCGGGGAGAAGCATTGGACATTTGGAAGGCATAGTTGTAGACAGAACATAGGCTGCTTCTTGAGGGATGAAGCTAGAATGATGGACAGGAACTGGTTTGAAGAGGCCCCAAATGCCAACCTAATTTGTTTTACTTTATCCTGAAGTCAACAGGAAACATAGAAGAGTGACATGATCAAATTTACATTTTAGAAAATGCATTTGGGCAGTACTGCGAGGGGTAGATGGGACATTCAGGACCACAGATGGGGAGGTTGCCCAGGAGGCCATGAAACTCCTATGAGGCCATCCATCTGCACAGTTTCTGGTGAACCTTTCTAGAAGAAGATGGGGCACAAACATCCAAAGTATCAATCATATCATTTCATTGGCACTTCTCTTCGACTACCTGAATTTTTAGTTAACTTTCCACAAGTCATGTCTCATCTCCCTACAAGACCTCAGGTTCTGTGAGAACATATACACTGAGTAATTCTAAGCTTTCCTAAGATGCGACCCTAAACCAGTGAAGTGCTCTATGCCTGAACTTGGCAGGTGGTTGGTCTCAGGGTCAGGGCACAGGTAAACTTGCCCAAAGTACTTCAAAGGAGATTCCAGAGATTTGTTCAGTCCTTGAAAAGATATTGCTGTTGAGCAAGAAAGGAATTGGATGCATATTTAAGCACCTGCTGGGTATTTTATTTACATTATCATGTCTGATCTTGACAAAGCCTGTAGGAAACAGTATTATCACTATTTAACAGCTAGACTAAAGTAAAGAAAGATCATGCAAATTCCCCAAAGTCACTGAGCTACTAAATGGCAATGTTGGGTGTCAAATCCAGATCCATTTGATTCCAAAGGGCAATCTGCCCCCAAATGATAAGAGAATGGAATGGAAGAAAGCACACGAGCTTTGGAATTCAGACCACTTGGCCGTATGACTCTGAGTCTCATTTTCATTAAATAGAAAATGCAGATACTAATAACACCAATTTCACAAAGTTATTATAAGATCAAGTGGGTTAAAGCTCCCTTTCAACTGTAAAGTGCTCTGCAAGTAGTTATTATTTTGGTATACGTGCACTTTGGGGGAGGACCTTTTATTTACCACTCATAACCTGAATTAGTTGCCTTCAAACACAGGCCATTTAATCCTGCCTGCTATCACAATAGGACCTCATTCTAGACTGGACTTTACATTATTAATGGTTGGTCTCACTGCTACTAATTTAGCTACAATTCTGTGAAACTGCCTAGGGGGAGATAAAATAATTTTAATAAAATTTCAATCCTCAGTCATTATTTTAAAAAGGGCTTCCGCTGAAAAAGAGTATACTTAGACATGATGTAGATATGGTCCCTTCCCTTTAGGAGCTTACAGACTAATACAGCACAAAAAGTAATCTGTACAAAGGATTTGTTGAGTAGAAAATGAGGATCAAGGAATAAGTGCCATGAGATCAGAAAGGGATAGGTTACACATGGCCCCACCCTGAGAAGGCTTCACAGTAGAGGCAGAATTTCAATGAAAAGAAGGAGTTTCATAGGATTTTCACAGGCAGAATATATTTCAGGAAGATGATACAACATGAGGATAAAGAGAGATATAGGAAAAGTTCTAGGCATAACTGATTGAGCGGGGCGGGGGCAGGGGGTTGTCTACTGAAAACAGACAAACTTAGTTGGAGCAATGGTTTAAGAGGAAAAAGGTGAAAGATGAGGCAGGAAAGTAAGCTTGGAGCCAGAAGGAAGACACCATTAACTCTTCATCAATAAATGATATAGCGAATGTGAGCAGTTTGAGGCCGGCCCTTCTTTAGTATTGGTATACAAAATGGAAGCAAGAAGACTCTACCTGTCCAGAACTACAGTGGTAGCTCTGGGAATAAATTAAAACATACATACAAAATATATTGTGAAGGAAAACTGAAATAACTTCATTATTAATGGGAAGCAAGGAATCCAAAATCACTCTGAGGTGCAACAGAGCTAGAAAATTCCGAAGCAGGAGGTGATCTGGGAACTGCAGTGTGGGAGAGAATGAAGATAATGAAATGTTCTGAAACATTCTTTGGAGGGATAAAGAAATCAAAATGAGTTTGAATTTTGCAGTGGTCTATCATAACATAGACCATTGGATTTTTTTTACTGGGTAATGAAGTGACACTCAGTTTCTCTGACCTTTGTCCTTTGATCTTGGAAGAAATCACTGTAGTTTTTAAGCAAGGAAACCAGCACCGTGTTCTCATCATACTTGATTAAGAAGTAAGGTAATGCTGGGACTCCTTCAGCTTGACAAAGATCATCATATGCACACTCAAGGGCTTGAATCTGAAAATAGGAAACATTGAGTTATTCTCCAGGAATTACATATATGGTGCTGAGCTAAAAATTAACATATAATAAATGGTAATTTCAAGCCAGAGGACTGGAAATGACTGATCACACCACTGTTATTCTTTTGCAGCAAATGAACATAAGAGTGACCCAAATAATGCCACTTCACTTTTACATAATATTTTTCACATGCATGGTGGTGTCTCTTAGGGGCACAAAAGGACATTTTATGGTACAGCATGGTAGTTCTCTAGGATATGAGCCACAAAGGTTGAGAGAGGTATCAACACATTATTTCTCTTCTGAGATAACCAAGCATGATTCTACAATTGATGAAATTTAACCTGAACCATTCCATAATCTTTAACAGCTTTATTGAGATACATTCACTTACCAAACAACTGACCAATTTACAGTGCACAATTCAATGCTGTTTTTAGCATGTTCAGAGGATTATGCAACTATAACCACGATTTGAGAACATTTTTGTCTTAAAAGAAAACTCACACCCATCAACAGCCAGTTCCCATGCATAATTCTTTCTCTCAACTTATATTTCTCCTTGGGAAATTAGTTCCACAAAACCATAACCTTTGATTTTTCTTAGTAAACATACTTATTATTTTTTAATCAGTAAGGGCTGCTCCTTAGTTTCAGAATTCAGGGTTTTAGTGACTGATGTACTTCATGAATTCAAATCATCTTGCCACTCAATTTTTGCTTCAATAACAGTCAGAATTCTTTGGTTTAGGGTCTGTGTTCTATCAGTCTGATGATTTTCTTTGCTCTTTTCTGAACCATTTCTAATGACCTTATTATCTTTCTTAAACTGCAAAGACTAACTCTGCATGTATCATTCCGGATACAGAAGTTCTGCAACTTGGCATGAGGGAAGAAGAATGTCTATTTAGTTTCAAAGGCTCTCATCCTAAAGTATAGTGCCTTATGATCCCCCCACTAAAAGTGAAAACTGCATTTTAGAAAATTCTTAGTCTTTTTAAAATGTTCCTATAATTCCTCCCTACTGGCTTAGAATGTTACCAAATGCCACTGAAAGCCTAGAAAATTATTGCTCACTACTTCTTCAAAATGATTTTATAAACATTTTGTAAATAAACCTGCTCCAAGTACCATCACTGGAAGATTCCATAGTGACCAGCTCTTCATTCAGACAAGTGTCTATCTGTCGCGCCAAGTGAGTGCCCCAGTAGGCCTAACCTTCCCTACCAAATGGCACAGAGATAAACTAGGCTTGCACATTAAACCCAATTGTACCTACATTTTGCTTTATTTGTTGATACCTGTTTTGGTGAAAACCTTTGACCCAAGCCCACTGGTCCCTGAATGAGGGGTATACTCTCAGGAAGGCAGAGAGCAGGGGAGCAAAACCAATAGTAGAAGTGGTACTTCTTCAGATCCTAAAAGAAAGAAAGAATATAACAGGATATCAGAATAGCAACAATGACTACACTGAAATGCATCTATTACTGTAACTTCCCATAACCAGGTAAGACAGAGGACTGATACACACAAGATATGACCAGCTTCTCAGAAATTCTCATCTCCAATAGAACTCATGATATTTCTGTCATTGTCCCAAAACATTCCCACACACCACATACTACTATATCAAGATAAACATACTTTTTTGGTCATGTGCTACAAAAAGTGTTCAGTATGTAATTGACATCATTGTCAACATTGTTCAATACACAAAACTACCCTGGGAGGTAACTATTATCCCATTTTATAGAGAGAAAACTAAAGCTTACAGAGGGGTGAAGAACTTGAATAAAACCATGTTATTAAAGAAGCTGTGCTTATTCATAATCTATATAAGCTGAGATCTATATATTGCTCTTAGAAATGCCTTATTGGTGAAATTCAAATAAACAACTATGAAGCACTTGCTATGTACAAGGCAAAACATTAGACACTGACAATAAGAAGATAAATAAAACCCAGTCCCAGCCCTTGGCCAGCTCACTTTCTGCACAAAGCAGAGATAACATGAGTGCTGCATGTCTCAGAGAAGAGGCTCTAAGAACTAAAGAACTTCGGGCAAGAGATGCAGGAGAAAGAACTAGGCGAAGCTGTCCGAGGTATTGTTCCCACTCAGGCTGAAAGCTCTTGCCCCTGAATTCTTGCAGCATTTGTGGCTGGAAACACTCATGTGCAGGAGCCCAGAGTTATGCAGCGATTTGGCAGCTTACCTGCCAGTCTGTTACCACGGACCACAATGCAATGGATTTGGCTAATTAATAGTTCTTCCTAAATCTTGCTTGCTATGAATAAAAAGTGGATGGCTGCTCCATATTGAGATATAATTCATATACCAAAAATATATTATTGGGATATAATTCACATACCATAAAATTCATGATGCTAAAGTATACAATTGCGTGGTCTATTTAGTACTAGTATATTGACTAGGTTGTACTACCATCATTACCAATTCTAGAACATTTTCATCACCCCCCTACAAAAAAAAACACACCAAAAAACCATTAATTAGCACAGCAACTTTCACTGGTGTGCCACAAGAAATTTTTAAAAAAGGAATACCTGACTATAGTCAGGGGCACTGACCTCTTTTTCCTTATATTGTCAAATTTAAAAAATGACAACAGTCATTTGTGCATGAATAAGAATTATACCTATTTTTTTGTCAGATGGGCAAAAAATGTATTTTTTTGTATACTGCAGAATTTTAGTAATTAGTTTATGTGTACCATGAGATGAAAAAGGTTGAAAATTGCTGCATTTGCAGAAAATTCCCATTTCCCCTGGCCTTATCTCCTGGAAACCACTAATCTATTTTGTCTCTATGCATTTGCCTTTTCTGGACTTTTCATATGAACTAAACCATATTAGATGAATTTTTAAAATATAAACTTTATATATATGTGTGTGTGTATGTGGGTGTGTCCAGCTGAGAAAGTCTAGTAATTATAATTTCTGCACTCTTTAATGTTAGGTCAAAAGGGGGTCCAGGAGCTGATGCATGCCTCTGCCAGGCAGATGGTGATGTAGATACTGGGTGCTTCCTAGAATCTGTAACAGGCCAGTGCACCAGGTAGATGGTGACGCAGATACCAGTCCCGCCCTGGAATTCCTAACAGGTCAGCTACCAGACAGATGACGACACCTGGAAACCATGACA